GTACTTTAGAAATATCAATTTGTCAACTACATGAAGAATGGAATGGAGGGGAAAGAAAAGACTGAGGCAGAAAGACCAATTATGTGGTTTTTTCAGTGGCCCAAGCTCTTGGGGATAAGGGCCTGGGGGGGAAAAAAAGGTGTTAGTGATGTGATAGAGAAGAAAAGGTGAGAGAAATGTTGAAGATGTGGTTATGTGTTGTAGTTTGTCCTTAGTTCTTGAAGAGGACTATAACATCAGGAAGATGCCATGACTTGCAGGTAAATTGGATCTAAGCAAGGCAGGGCTATGCGAAGTCACCAACCTCACTTTCTCCTCCAGAGCCACCTGGGTCCAGTAGCTAGATATAGATCAGGACAAGTGGAAATGGCCTCAGATGCAGTGGAGACCTTGGCTTTTTAAGCTAAGGTCTTTCTGAGTTTTCACTTTGACTGAGGCAATGATTAGAGCTGTTTAAGAATCGAGCAAAGGGATGGCCCATTTAATAATAATAATAATAATAGTCAAAATGGGAGAGGAAGACACTCAAAGGTTTCTGGCCAAAAGAGAAACAAATTACTATTTACATTTACTCTGAGCTATCAGGGCCCAAAAAGTAATCATTAAGTTGTGCTTGGCCAGGAACCTATTGTTGGCCAATCAATGACAGCCAGAGTGAATTGGGTTTAAGGCCTGGTCTTTAAGAAAGAAATCTAGCCAGTAAACTCCAAGATATCAAAGTAGGTTTCAGCCATCAAAATTTACCTTCTTTCGGGCACAGTACCCTCAGGTAAGAGCATGATACATCATAAGAGCACAAGATGGGAGGGGAGGAGAGGGGCTCAGTTGCCCAACTGGAATTGGTCAGTTGTGCCCAGTGGGGCAGCTCAGACTACTCACAGACTATGGTTTGTCCTTCATTCTCAAAGAGGACCATGACATCAGGAAGGTCATGCCATGACTTGCGAGTGAATTGGATTTGTGAGGCAGGGCTATGCAAAGTCACCAGCCTCACAGACCCATCTGGGTCCAGTGGCCAGACAGATCAGGACCACTGGCAACTGCGAAGGTGGATTCACAAGATTAAAGAAGTCATTGGTTGTAGGAGTGTAGGGAAGAATGGAGAGTCAAGTATCAGGGGGGAGTCAAAACCATCCCACCCCATTTTAGCCTAAATAACCAGGTGGGAACTGTCTAAATTTCTTAAAGTCCTTAGACTTAAGTGCTAAAAGGTCCTCAATTGATTATGACCATCACAATGACACTGCCTATAAATTACCAAACATGGAGAAGTGATTGATTTCCAGAAATTGGGGCAAGTACATTTTCCAGCACATTCCTGAGGTAGAATCACTGGGGGTGAGGGGTGACAAGGTAGAGAAACCTTGGCTTCCAGGCATGTCCAGGTCTCCTTTCTCCCTGCCCCTTTAGCCAGAGAAAGACCTTGCAGGTTCTGAAAGGTCTAGAGTATTTTGGATTTCCTGTCTTCCCACTGGTGTCCCAACTTTATCCATGGATCAGCTAATGGCAATGGACTGATGCACACAATTTCACAGTAATTAAGGAGAGCTTCTTGAGCACCCCATGAATAGGAGAAAAGAGCTTCCAGTAACCAAGAGCTGTTGAGTTACCCTTTCATTACCTGTATTCTCTAAGCTTGAGCCCGTTTTTTCCCTGGATTATACATGTACATGTGGGAATAGTGCGTTTCATATATGTGTGTTGGGGGTGGGGGAGAGGAGGACAGGACATTTTGTACCAACTGTTCCAACAACAACAGTTGTTGTTCAGTTGTGTCCCACTCTTTGTGACCCCATTAGGGGTTTTCTTGGCAAAGATACTAGAGGGGTTTGCCATTTCCTTCTCCAGCTCATTTTATAATTGAGGAAAGCAGGGTTAAGTGACTTGCCCAGGGTCACACAGCTAGGAAGTGTCTGAGGCCAAATTTGAACTCAGGGAGATAAATCTTGACTCCAGGCCCAGCACTAACTGTCTCTTACTATACCAACTTAGTAAATACTTCATTCTAAAAGCTGCTTAAAGCTGGCAATTAAATTAATTCTCAACTGATAAACCTTGTAGGAAAGCACACTGGTGGGGGCTCAAGAGAATCACCATAGACATAGAATCCTCAAAGACATTGTGAGACTACTGAGGGGGAGATATAGCTAAACTTAGTGGGCCTGAAATTTATCTCAGGGAGAGTGGGAGTTAGGATAAGGATTCTACAAGGAGGATTCTAATAGTAGGCTAGCATTTACATAGAGCTTTTAAGGTTTACAAAGCAAAGTGCTTTACATATATTATCTCATTTGATCCTCACAATTACACTGGGTTTGTGGCTACAGTGCCACCTAGCTGTGCCCCGCCCCAATTTTATAGGAAACTGTGGCAGACAGGTTAAATGACTTGCCTAAGGTCATACAACTAGTAAGTGCCTGAGGTCAAATTTGAACTCTGGTCTTCCTGACTCCAATGTGTGACCTACCGAGCTACTTCCCTGCCTCACAACTCCAAAGTTATGAACCTGAATCCCTGGAAGGATGGTCATGCTTTTAAGCCAAATAGGGATGTTAGGAAGAATGGTAGGTTTAGGGGGGAAATAATGACAGGTCAAGTTTGAGAAGCCTATAGGCCTATCAGTTTGCTACAGGCTCACTGGATTATAAATTTAGAGGCTTAGAAGCCACCCCCTCATTTTACACATGTGAAAACTCATTTGAATTTGAACTCAAGTCTCCTTGACTCCATTGCACCATCTACTAGAGCTAAGAAGAGCAACTAGGGCCAGGTTTATAGAGCTGAGAGTCCTCTTTAGAGAGGTAAGAACTGAACCCCAGGGGAACTTATGAGTACTACTAAGAGAAGAGAGGCTGCATAGAGCACTGGCCCTGAAGTCAGGAAGACCTGAATTCAAATCTGGCCTCAGACTAAACACTTGACACTTACTAGCTGTATGACCCTGGGCAAGTCACTTAACCCCAATTGCCTAAAAACAAAAAAATAAGAGACAAGAGGAGGAAAAAAAAGTTCCAGGACAGAGCTATGGTCAGTGGCTGGGTCAGGATTGGTGATCCAGCCAAAGAGTCTTAGAAGAAGCATCCACACTGATAGAAGGAAAACCAACAGCGTATAGTGTCCTGAAACCCAGGGAGGAGATGGAAAGAGAGGGTAGTCAACGGTATCAAATGCTGCTGAGGTCAAGAAGGCTGAGTACTTAAGAAAGGCCCTCAAATTCAGCAAATAAGGGGCAGCTAGGTGGCACAGTGAATAGAGCACTGGCCCTGGAGTCAGGAGGACCTGAGTTCAAATCTGGCCTTTGATACTTACTGGCTGTATGACCCTGGGTAAGTCACTTAACCCCATTGCCTAGCCAAAAAAAAAAACAACAACAACAACCCAAACAATCAAATTCAGCAAGTAAGAGATCACTGGTAACCTTGGGAGAGAACAATTTCAGTTAAGTAATAGCACTTATATAGCACTTTAAGCCTTACAAAGTACTTTACAAATCGTATCTCCCTAACAGCCCTGGAAGGTATATGCTATCTTGTTCATTGCTGTTCAACTCTTCATGACCTCATTTGGGGTACTCTTGGCAAAGATACTGGAGTGGTTTGCCATTTCCTTCTTATTTTATAGATAAGGAGACTGAGGTAAACAAGGTGAAGTGGCTTGCCAAGGGTCAGACAGCTGGTAAGTGTCTGAGGTCAGATTTGAACTCAGGAAGAAGTTTTCTGACTCCAGGCCCAGCACTCAACCCACTATGCCACCTGACTGCTATTATTATCCCCATTTTACAAATAAGGAGAATGAGGCAGACAGGAGTTAGATGATGTTGCCCAGTGTTGCATAGCTATCAGCTAAGTATCTTCGGCAGAATTTGAACTCAGGTCCTCCTTTCCCTACATCCAATACACTGCTCCACCTTGCTGCTGAGTAACACAGTAAAAGCCAGATGGCAAGTGTTTGAGAAGATCCAAGTAGAGCAAATCTAATCCCTCTTTACCTGATGTCCTTTCTCAAAAATCTGCCAACCAGACCTGAACATAATGAATTCTGGATGCACTTGATTTAGGACCCAAGAGATCACAAATCAGAGCTACCAACTCTAGCTTTTTTAGTTCTTTCTTCTACCTTCCAGAGGTTTAAAAGAGCACCAGATTTGTAGGAAGAGGACCTGAGTTCAAACCCCAGCAATGACACTTACATAATATTGGACAAATCTCTTAGCCTCTCTGAGATTCAGTTTTCCCATGTTTAAAAAGAGGGAGGTTGAATCAGTCGACTTCTAAGCCTTCCAGTTCTAAACCTGTGATCATATGACCCAACAGTCAGTATGTACCAGGCACTGTGTTAAGTGTTGGGGATATAAAGAAGAGCAAAAAACAGTTCCTTCCCAAGAGGAGCTCACAGTCTGATGGAGGAGACAACAAGCAAACGCATCTATACAAACATTCTAGATGCAGGAAAAATAGAAAATAATTCATAGAGCAAAAGTATTAGAACTAGGAAGGTTAGGGAAAGGCTGCCCGGAGAAGATGAGATTTTGAGAGGAGGAGGCAGAGCATTCCAGGCCTGGGGGACAGCCAGAGAAAGTGCCTGAAGCCAAGAGACTGAGCGTGTTGTTCTAAAAACAGGGAGGCCAGTGTTACTGGGTTAAAGAACACCAGGTGGTAGCCAAGCAAGGTAGAGGGATGGAAAGGTTTGGAAGAACTGCTATGGAGAGTGGGGTAGTGAGTTGATAAGGGAGATAAATGTAGAAGGATTGCCCAGCAGCATTAAGTTGAACTCCTGACTTTAAGACCACTGATAAATCCACCAGGCCACATTACCTCTCTTCTAATAATTAAAGCTATGGGGGCAGCTAGGTGGCGAAGTAGATAGAGCACAGGCCCTGCAGTCAGGTGGACCCGACTTCAAATTCAGCCTCAGACCCTGCTGTGTGATCCTGGGCAAGTCACTTAACCCCAATTGCCTCCAAAAAAATAACAATAATAATTATAGCTATTAAATCTTACCAGTTCTCTGGGGAATGGTGAGCTACCGACCACTGGAGATGTTCTAAAAGAAGCTGGATGACCATTTGTCAGAAACGTAGATGGGATTCCTGCTTCAGGTGGGTTGGGTTAGATGGCCTTGGAGATTTATTCTAAAACTGCAATTCTATGATTCTATGGGGAGTAAAACCTCCTCAAATAAAGGCTAAGTAGCATCCTGTCAGCCACTGAGAGAGAGAGATTGTGTCAAAACCACTTTGCAGGGATGTCGTAGAAATGATCTTTGCTTTGAATGGAAAAAGAGGGAGATTGTGGTAACACTGTGTTGAAGAGGGAAAATCCCAGACTAGGCTGGAGAGTTTTCCTAAACAACCTGATAATAGGGCATGAAAGTGTTTTCTCAACCACCTGAGAACATAATAAGAGTGCAGGTGATTGTTTGCCATTGATAGTATTGAGTATCAAGGACAAGAGGGTCATCAACCATGTCAAAGGCTGCAGAGAAGTCTCTTCAATGAGCCTGATGGAGTTAGAGGGCTTTAGTCAAAAGAAGGCAATTAGTGGGATTTGGAGAAACCCCTAAAGGATTCCCTGAAAGGATCAGCCATGTTTTTTTTGGCCTAGGTAAAAAGCAAGAAGGATCTATCTATGAAACAGGTGAGAAGAGAGGGAAGAAGTCAGCATCAAGGCAGAAAGGGCTGAGCTCTGGAGGAAGCTCTGCACTCACCCTTGTGCTTGTAGAAAACAGCAAGGCAGAGAAGGGGATGGCTCTCTTCGCCACCGCTCCTCCTCCATCAGCAATGGCATCTTGCCGCAGAAGCACCTGCAGAGAGGAGACAAGTTAGCCAGACTTGCGAGAAAAAAGTTTCCTCCCGTCTACCTTTTGAGAAATAAGGGGTTCTTTAATGACAGAGTTCTTCTTCCACAAAAGCCCAATCACTGGGCCAACTTTCTTATAGACTGCCCTGTAGGGAGTCAATTCTCTGGTTTTGAACAGCCCACCCTGTTTGCCCAAGTACATGAGTACCTGAGAAAAAACACCTAGGCAATCTATATTCACTGTCTCAGTGGCTCCTCAACCAGATTTCTTGTCTCTTTCTTTCGTATGTAAATATGACCACTTGAGGCCTGAAAGGGCTTTTAGCCTTAAGCCCAGTAATTTCATCAAATAGAATTGGGGGGGAGGGGGTGAGAGGGACAAAAATCAACTAGGGTGTCCAGATCTTACAGTGGCTGTTGGTGGGTATTGGGGGAATTCGGGAGGAGTATGATACTGTTACCTCTCTTAGAAGTCAGATCACCAAAGTCATAGAAACCCCTAACACTGGTAAAACAGTATAGCCCTAGGCTCACTGAGGTAGAATGCATGTGAGTTGGGTGGGTGGAAAGGAGCTAGCCTCCTCAGGCTTTACATTTACCAATGGCCTAGCCTCTAGCCTTCATTCTTTTTTTTCCCTCCCTCCCTTCCTTCCATCCTTCCTTCCTTCCTGCCTTCCTCCCTCCCTCCCTCCCTCCCTTCCTGCTGTAGAAAGTTCTGTTGTATATATCAGATTGCTTGCTGTCTTAGGGAGGGAGGAGGGAAGGGAGGGAGAAAAATTTGGAACTCAATATCTTACAAAAACGAATGTTGAAAACTATCTTTTCATGTAATTGAGGAAAACACAAAATATTATTAAGTGCAAAAAAAAAAAAGTTATGTTCACTCAGTTTCCTATTGTTCCCAGCCCTGAGGGGTTGGTTGGGGGGAGGTTCTGGTGGGGAAGGAGAGAACAAGTCTGCAGTTTTTGTATCACCTGTTCTTTGTCACATATCCCTACCAGCAAAATGTCACGTTCTTGGTACCTCAGGGAGGAACTGAGATACAGGGGCCCCACCTCTTTTGCTGCTATGGACCCATCTGGATTATCTTAAAGTTACCTAAAGAAGAAAGCTGTCCCCACCTAGAAGCCATTGGTGATCTCCAGAGATCAGCCCATCAATGTGCTGCTACCTAGGCATACTTATGATAAAATCCTTTTAATTCTCTTTGTCCCGAGTTTTTGTCTCGTTAATCAGGGTGAAAGCCAAAATGAAGAATTTTCCTTTCAACACTGCCTTCCTTCCTTCCTTCCCAGTCATTTTTTTTTTCTTGCTTGAGGCTTAGGGCCTCTTTTCATAGAACCCTCCTCAGCTGCCCTCCCAGAAAATCCTGGGACTCTTGACAACCCTTGTTATAGGTGGCTATAGCTTCTTAAAAGCTGATTTCCCTGGGTCTTAAGGAGTTTGCAGCCTATTAAGAAAACAGGTAGCCAGAATTTCTCTTTGGCTTAAATTCCTAAAGTGGAAAGAATTCTCCCTTTCTACTAGGGATTTCCATCTGAAGTGTCTTATGAGCTCTTTGACTACTGATTAGGCTTTTGAGTCTAACAATCCTTATACATTATATCTTTATAATAAAGATTTTGGAAGCTTATTTGAATGAAGTTCAGCTCTGAGTTGCAAATTTTAGAAAGTCACAGGTATAAAAAAAGGCTTTCTACACTGTATTCTAGGTACTATAATTCTTCACAAAAATAATGGTTTCCTTTAGTTCCCCTTCTAAGAGTAGAAGACTTGTTAGAGTATTGATTAGAAATATTGGAAGTCCCCTAAGAAAATAGAGTTTTGTCTTTTCCAAAATTTAGAATGACTCTATCACTCAACCATGAAGAAGAAGTGGTCCTTCTGAATGCTAACATGTCACAGTTCTCTCAGGTTGCCTCAGGGGGTGTGGTGAATATTGAATGTCCAGAAACCTACCTAGAATGCTTCTGAAGGACAGGAAGGTAGATGATCCTAAATATGATCTTGAGAAATAGAGAGCCTCCTGAAACAACAGGAAATAAGGCTTTTATTGCCAGAAGGGAACCCCAGACAAAAGGATGGTGGGATATAATAGAAGAAGCTCTGTCTCAAGTCAGAGGTCCTGTGTTCAAATTGTACCTCTGACCTTATCTGTTCCCTTGGTCTGATATTTAATTTTTCTGAGCTACTTTTTAAATGAAGGGGTAAGGGCTCTGGGGCAGCTGGATGGCTCAGAGCACTGGCCCTGGAGTCAGAAAGACCTGAGTTCAAATCTGGCCTCAAACATTTACTAGCTGTGTGACCTTAAGTAAGTCACTTAATCTCTGTTCATCTTAATCCACTAGAGAAGGAAATGGCAAACCACTCCAGTATCTTTGCCAAGAAAACTCCATGGACGGTATGGCCCCTGGGTAATGAAGAGTCAGATGAGACTGAACAATATCTACAAAATAGCTCTGGACTTGAAATCAGGAAGACCCGACCTGCCTCAGGTGCTTAGTAGCTGTGTGACCTTGGGCAAGTCACTTAACCCCAATTGCCTAAAAAGCAAAAAGAAGAAAAAAAAGAATCAAATAAGCTGACATATATATGGGGCTTTGCAAACCTTAGAGCATTTCTATAAATGCTAGTTATTATATTATTAGAAAGCCACTGAGGTCCCTTCAAGCTATAGGGCTGTGGAAGGCTCCTACATCTTTGTGGCTTTGTCATCACCAAAATATTTCATTACCTAAAACAAAGATCTGGCACCAGGGGCATTCTTAGCACACAGGCCATACAAAAGCAGGCAGTGGACAGATTTGCCCTGAGGATTGTACTTTGCCAATCCCTGCTTCGGATATTGAGAAATTCTGATGATGACAAAGCCACATGTTTTCTTCAGAAGCCAGTCACCCACAGAGGGGGAATATTCTCTGTACTTTGTGAGTTTTTCTGCAAGACTACTAATGAGCTTGGTACACATCGGTTTCCCAACACCTGTTGGACTAGTTTACATGGCAACAATGAAAAACGTTCATCACCATTCCTTTCTCTCCCTCCTTATTTAAGCTTATATGACAAATGACCACATGCATTTTGACTTGCCACCATTGTCTCCATTTGGAGGATAGAAGCATCTTTCATTCTTAGTAAATTCTGAGTACTAAGTATTAAACTTAGAAAAAAATTTAAAAGTAGGAAGCCAATAATAATAACAACAGGAATTCAGCATCTTCTGGTTACAAAACACTTTGCAAAATGCAAGGATTCCTACTGAGAGAAACTGAGCAGTCCTGAAAAGGATTTGAGCAGCTTCATTCCCCCTCTACTTGTACAAGCTAGAGGAGAGCCGAAGGACACATGGTTATTCAAAAGAAAACAACTCTGGGAAGAAGCTTCTGGGAGAGAAAGGGGGCACTAGCAAGACAAAGATGGTAGCTGTTAATTAATGGATGGGGAGCCAGTGGAGCAATGAAAGGTATGTGGTATGAAGTTCTTGGTTCAAGATGGCAGCTTCAAGATCAAGACAAGGTGGATGGTGATGGCAGTAGTAGCCAGGAAACAGGATGAAAGCAATGGATGCCAGAGCAAAGGGAAAGAAGACCTCTGTTACTTATATACCTTTTAATAACTTTCCACAGTATTAATATCTTGATAACCTCAGTTACTTGCAGAAGACTTGAGCCTTGAAAGACATAATCCATCTTCAGATGTTTCTTGGGAAACCCAGTCCTGGGGGCAAAATAAGTCATAGAGGTAATATTTTGGAGCTTTCATGATTGAACCTGGTTTTTGTGACCCTGGAACTTTGGTAATACATTGTAGGTTACTTTTCTATTATATTATTTCATTCTCACTAAATTCAGTGAAGTAGGCCAAGCAGGGATTTTTTATCCCTATTTTTCAGATGAGAGAAGTAAGGCTCATTACTTGCTCAAGCTCACACAGCTGACAGGTAGAAAACCTAGAATTTAGGCCTTCTGATTCCAAATCCCAGCTCTTCAATTGGTTTCTATGTATGCTCAAGTATTTTTTTTTAATTTACTTATTTTTAGTTTTCAACATTCACTTCTATAAAAAAGGTTTTCGGGGGGTCAGGCTTCCACAGCAGGATAAGGAATTCCAGGATCTTGTGGGTAGTCCCCCAACCAATCAGAAAGTGTACCAAACATTCTGTAAATTTAAGAAAGAGTCCTGGAGGCTAAACCGGTTGCAACCTGTCTCGGTCAAGGTCAAAGGCTTTTCTCCACTGCAGTTGCTTAATAAGCTTATTAAATATTAACTGACACACCCCAAGGGCGGAGATAGCCACCATTTTGATCATGGGACACATGATCTAACATGACAAGGAAGAACATGGACGAACATGCTATGGGCTGTCCAGGAAGAGTGTAACTCAGATGAACTAGACCAATCCTAGCCCTAGTGGGTGCTGTATGAATCTTACTAACTTTAAAAGTTGTGCCCATGTGCTACTAAAGTGCATTGTGCCTACTTCTCTCCAGAGAAGTGTGATAAAGGCTTACCTTCACTCACTCCTGTAGCAGATTTTTGTTTCAGATTTTTCTAACAACTTCCATAAGATTTTGAGTTCTAAATTTTTCCCCCCTCTCTCCCCACCCCCTTCCCAAGATGGCATGCAATTTGATATAGGCTCTACATATACATTAATATTAAGCGTATTTCGTTAGTCATGTTTAAAGAAGAATTGGAGGGGCAGCTAGGTGGCGCAGTAGTCAGGAGGACCTGAGTTAAAATTTGGCCTCAGACACATGACACTCACTAGCTGTGTGACTTTGGGCAAGTAACTTCACTCCCCCCCCCCCAAAAAAAAAACACGAAGAAGAATTAGAACCAATGGGAGAAACCACAAGAAAGAAGAACAACAACAAAAAAAAGATGCTCAAATCTTGATAATATTTAAATATTATTTTTGTTATGTATAGTAACACTTTGTGCCCTAAGGAACACACTCTGGGTATGTTATTGTTTACTATGGAACACATTTTTATAAAACAAGTCCATCATGAACTTTAGCTGTTAGCATTTTGTTTCCAAAACAGTAAAAGGATCTTGTAGAGTCCTTACCAAGAAGCCGGTCCCAGAATATGGAGCCCTAAGGACAGCATCATCACAAAATTCAAGTGCATGAAGTTATGAACTTGGCGATGAATCTAAGCTCATGTGTTTAAAAAAAAAAAGACCAATCTTTATTTAAAGCTACCTATTCAGCACTCTTGAAACCTGAAGCATTCTTGGGTTCCTGCTGTAGTTTCTCTTTGAGTAAACACCAATGGGTATAGCAAGCAGAACAATGAACAAAAAAGTATTTACTGTCATAGATAAATAGATACAGGTCCTCTTAAATGGGAGGTGGGAGACTGAGCCAAAGTGCTATTCGGAGCCCAGTTTCAAGCCAGATCTGGAAAGACTGTTTTCCTTTAGTCATTTCCCTTAGACATTCAAGCTTGTCCATTTCCTATTGTACATGAAGCTTCATGCAATATAATTAAACAACACAAGTGCCCAGGGAATAGAACTGGTTAGAATTAGCTGAGGTTTGGGGGGTTTTTTAGGCAATTGGGTCACACAGCTAGTAAGTATCAAGTGTTTGGTCTGAGGCCGGACTTGAACTCAGGTCCTCCTGACTCCAGGGTGGTGCTCTATCCACTGTGCC